CGCTGCTTGGTGAGTCGCTAGCCAGCCAGGTTTACTGGGAAGCATCAGGTTCGTTCCGCGACATGTCGCCAAGGCTTTCACTTTGGTAGCCTTACCTTCACGGATCGCTCGAAACAAAGGCTCTTCCTCCCTGTAAGGATAAAATAATTTCAATCATCATGATTTGGTCCATGGGTTTTAGTCTCATTTAAAAAGCTATGTTTTCCAAAACAGACACAAGTTCAAATAATTCAGAGCTTAGGAAGCAACCTCTAAATGTCAAGCAAATGAAAGTCCTACAATCACTACGATTGAAGAGACAGAAACAGGTGAGTTGTGGAAAATCTTTAAGTAGAAAGGAACCATTCAACTCAGACTTCCTACCTGTCCTATCTTCAAGGTTTAAAGAAAAATATAGAAAAGAGAACTCACTCTTCAGGTTCTGGAGCAATGTGGACCAAACTGCCATCCGGTCTGTAGTATGCCACCATCCTCTTCCCAGAACCTGTCATGAACCGGCTCACTGTTCCATCAAAAGTCTTCCTGTCAGCATCCCAAAACAGCCAGTCAGAGCACAGAGAAAAATCCAAGCAGCCAATCAGATCATATAGATCAACTATGACAGCCAATCAGAGCCTTTGAGATATTTATAGGCATTAGATACAGTATAGATACTACCTGCCAGTAGCTCATTAACATTAATGCGTTAATGTATTAATATACTGAGGACACCTCAGTATATACCTCATATTCTGCCCCACTTCACTGTGGAGTCCCCCAGGGATCTCTCCTGGGCCCCATTCCTTTTGCTTTTAAGAAGCATGGCATGTCTTACGCTGATGTTTGTCAAATGTGAATACCTATTGCCAAGAACGACCAGAGCCATGTGACACCCCTACTCACCTGCGTTAGTGACATCAAGGCTTGGTCAGCCAAGAAATGTTTAAAGCTGAAAGATAATAAAACATCATGGTCTTTGGATCTGCCCACATTAACTTGGGATTACTCCAAAATTATTTGGGTCCCAAAGTCAACAGCCTTGGCGTCGTCATAGAAAGCGATTTTTTATTAGCTAAAAAGATCAATGCTGTTTTAAAATTTGGTTTAGTCATTGTATGATTGCTTTGAAATTGTTCTAGTTTATTATGTGAAACGTAGAAATGGGTCCTCAGATGTGGAGTAAGCACATAATGCTTTGATGTTACATAAGCCGTTCTTCAGGTGGGCTTTGGAAGCCAGCTGTTTATTCCAGCTGCAAGAAGAAAATCAAAGCTACTCACATGTCAGGAGGCTTCTCAGTCGGGGGGTTCGGGGAGCTGTAAGTGACGCTGGTCTGCGGCGCGGCTGGATTCTGGCCGCTCGAGACTCGACGTTGGTATCTGTCGGTGCTTGGCGGGTTCGGCTTGTTGTCCTGGGATTGTGATGCCTGTGGGGGGCTGGTAGTGGCGGGAGCGGTGGTGCTGTGGTCAGTGGGGGCGCTGTGGTGCGTTTCTGTCAGACTGCGCTCGATGGCGACTTGCAGCAGCTGGTCATCGCTCAGATTACTGTAGAGAGAATAATCCTCAAAGGCCAAAGCAGAACCTGCCGAACCTAAGTGAGAGATGCTGGGTGACGCCATGATGCGTCCAACACTTTGAAACAACGGAAACAGATGATGTTCTCCTCAGGTGGGTTCAAAGGGTCCTCATGGAGATCCTGTGATTTTTCTCCAGCATCTCCTGCAGAGCCTGAAACAAAAGTCAGAGAACCTGAAACCTTTCTAAACCTGGAATTAAAACTGAGCAGAAACAATTATAAGCTTAACTTAGTTGATATTAAAACATGAAGGATATTAAGAGAGTAAACAAAGCAGCATTTCACAACAAACCAGAAGGGTTTGATGCAGAAGCAAAGTCTCTGATTAAGGAACCCTCCACATCAAAGCCAGTCAGCAGAAAGCGCTGCTCACCTCCAGGGAAATCCACAGTTTCTTCCAGAGTTGATTCGTCGCTCTGTCCTGTTTATGCAAACCTGACCCTGTGAGGGCAGTCCAGCCGGGGGAGGGGCTGTTCCAGGTTATTTTAAGGATCTGCAGGCAGAACAGCTGACATCTTCTCTGACTAGAGTTACTGAGGGAGTCGTATGAAAACAGCTGAATCACAGTGACTCAGTTCGCAGGAAAACCTGCTGACTACAGATCAATCTGGATGTTACATGCGTGTGCATCTGCTCATGCATTCGGAACCAAACCGCGTCCTGAAGCTTTCAGGAAGAGTTCTGCTTCTGTGGATTTGACTGAGCTTTGATTCAAGCAGAATTGAATTATCTCATGAATACAGCGGCTGTTTTGAACTGGTTCCAGTACATGAGACAAAGATAAAGTCACATGCTGGTCACAGAGCCAATCAAACGTTTATATGCATTGGGGGCGGAGCCATGATTTGAGACATTAAGGGGGCTCCCAAATGGGTAGCCGGGCTAACCAATGAGTGAGTGAATTAGGCATTGATCTGCTTAAGTCAGGCATACACTGTGCGATATTTTCAGTCATTACACCAGGCTACAGCTAACAATTTATGTTTTCACACTGTACGACGCTCTGATGCGATCTACCTGCTCACACTTTACGTATAAAAACCACACATCAGACACAGAGAGATGGCGCTGGTCGGACTCGTCTATCTGGAAGAAGAAGAAGGACACTGTTGTTTGGAAATGCGCAGTGCTTGAGGTTTTGGTAAAGCTGGCCATACACTGTGCGATTGTTTTGCCCTTTTTGGGCCGATTCTCAAGTCATGCCCGAATTTTGTCAATCGGGCCGAGTTCAACCTCCTGGTGCATCCCACATCATGTGGTTAACAGGAGGTAATGAGGGGCAATCAGCCTCTAACGAGCATCTCCTCATCAGGTATCGTAAGGTCGGGAGAAAATCAAACATGTTTGAAATTCAGTCGGCCGTCGTAAGGTGGTTGGTAAAGCCGGGGACTCAAACGGAACCGCAGGGTTTAAAAGTTCACAACTCACCATGTATGTTCTCCACACGTCGGAATCAGCGCCGAGGGATGGCGCTGGTCGGACTGGTTAATGTGGAAGTAGAACTCTCTTGTTTGCATATATGCTCAGAGGTCGAGTTACCCGTAAATCGGCTCATAGCTCTGCTTCGACAGCCGGATCTGCGCACCAACACCTCAGGAGGGCCGACTGAATTTCCAACATGTTTGATTTTCTCCCGACCTTATGATTCCCGATCGGGAGGTGGTCGTTAGAGGCTGATCGCCCCTCGTTAGCCCCTGTATACCACATGACGCAGGATGCACCAGGAGGTTGAAACTCGGCCCGATCGAAAAGAAAATTCTTGTGCGACTGGAGAATCGTTATGAAAAGGGCAAAATCTTGAACAGTGTTTGCCTGTTCTTTTAGATTAGCATACCGATCAAACCAGCATACCTATAGTCAAAACCCTTTAGTTTTGTACCAAAAATAAACTTTAAAATACCTCAAGAGAACTATTTAATCAATTACTTTTTGGTGTTCTATGAAGCATATGGAGATCTGACCTTGAGTTTAAAGGGAAACACGTCCATCAAGGTAGTTTAAAGTCTATTTTTTGTACAGAGCTAAAGAGATAAACACAAATCTGACGTCTTACACATGCATATTGACTATAGATATGCTGATCTGACAGAACACCGGCTTTAAGGAGCGTGCTCAGTTTGTCAGAGGGCTTCAAACCAGCAGTCTGCTGTGCCTCCTGTTGTGCAACACTCCCCAGTGAAAAAGTGGAACACACACCTTGCCAAAAGGGGAGATCTACTGAGCACCTCCCTGCTCCCTCAGCCTCAGCAGGAAGAGTTAGAAGCATTCACATCCCTCCCTCTTTTCTATAAAGGCCGTCTCACTGACAAACACTACAGGTTGATTTTACCATCCAGGCACAGTGATAAGTCCTTACATACCTGTAGCCAGAATCTCTGAACGCCTAAAAATAATTACCAAGTTGATTGCCTGTGCACTCTGGACAGATGTTAGATTGTGCAAAACCCATCCTGAATAATCTTTGACCTGTATAGTGCACTCTGTGGAGGATTTTGTATTGTATTAATTGTAAATTGGGGTTTCTAGTCATGTTAAAAGTTTTTAGACATATCTGAGCCCAGATGTTTTGTTCAAAGCTGGCTGATAAATCCTCCTCCCTGTCAGGACTCCTGTCTGTGTGTTTGTGTTTCTGTGTTTGTCTCCCTTCCTCCACCAGGGGGCGCCTGGTTCTGGTCCACCTCCTCACTCACCTGCTGATGGTTTCCTCGTTAACGGAGCGTTCTTTAGCTGCTGACTGCCATTACACCGACACCAGAGTGGTTGCCAGTTTAGGGTACTCTAGCCAAGCTGAGTTTTGCTGAGTCACACTGAGTTCTTGTCAACCTGAGTTTTAACATTGTTATTGTCTTTGCTTTTCGGCAGGAAGTCATCCTGCAAACTGGATTTTTCGGACCTTCTCTCCCTGGAAGGATCAACTGAGCTGGGGTTCAAACAGGAGGTTTGGACCCACTTTCCCCAAGAGAACGTTTGAGCTTCACACTGAGAAAGGGATTCATCTCCACTACGACCCGTTCAAGTACCGCAGGAAATCTGAGTGGCAGTCAGTTTCTCAGTTCACCTACAAACTACTGCCTTCTGGGTAAACCCTGTTCCGCCCTCCACCGAATCAGACAAACACTGGAACAACAGCATACATACTGGAAACAAAGACTCAACAACTTCTCTGGAAACGTGAGTCAGCAACCAGATCTTCTTCTCCAAGTTCCCGAACCAAATTTCCCACTGAGCCTGAACTAACCGCTGTGTCTTCCCCTCACTTTTCAGTTCTGGTTGAGCAGTGTTCAGAGCAACACTTCTCTCTGTATTATCTCTTCATTAAATCCTGTTAAACTTTTTCCCCTGGTCTCCCTGTTTGGTCTTCTGCATTTGGGTCTGAACTTTAGTAAAATCATGACACTCCCATTTAATAATAGGAACAGTGTAATGAGGGATTCTAATATTTCAATTAAAAACTGGTTGTGGGAATGGTGACCGCTGTGAAGCATCAGTCAAATGCTTGATGTCCAAAATGTTGTGGTTTATTCACCATCAAAGAAGATCCATACAATATTTGTATACTGGTGGGTTTAAAGCAGATACAGAGTGTGTGTGTGTGGTTCTACAAACAGAAAAAGCAGAAAATAAACCTAATTAGCATTGCCATGTGGCTGGCTGGACATCATAATTACAATTACCAACTATCATCAAAAATATAATAAAAATACACATCTATCTGTAAATAATAATGTCAGTAATTTACTTACATATCCTTGGACGCACACAGAACACAAAAACCAGTGGATGGCGAACTAAACCAAAGATACAAAGCAGATTGTGTCTTCAACTATCCTTCATCTGAACTGCCATCTTAGTATTGAAGGAAATTAACAGAGAACATGACTGGGCAAAAACCCCAGCCTGCAATACCTACCACTAACCAGAGGGGGGAGCTGAGTGGCTACTTCTACACACCACACATCAAACAATCCCAAACCCAAAGTCCTTCAATACAGCCGCCCCCAAATATGCAAAGTCATATTTGTTATCCTGGAGAAGGACTGCCATTGAGAGCAGTCTCTGGAAGGCCTGGCAGTGGGACCAGACGGGCAACTGGCCTGGTGTAGCTCCGGTCGTTGACCTGGATGTCCGCTGTCCGGATCCTCCCGTCTGCACTCGGGGTGACCTTCGTTATACGACCTACAGGCCACGAGACTCTGGGAAGTTGTGGGTCCACAATCATAGCAACAGCACCTGGCTGTAGCGGAGTGGTGTCCCTCTGCCATTTCGATCGTGTCTGGAGGAATGGCAGGTGGTGTCTTATAAACTTCCTCCAGAACTGGTCAGCCAAGACCTGGGTATGTCTCCAGCGGCGTCGGCTCAGCAGCTCAGATTCCGTGTACACAACCTGAGGCAAAGAGGGGTCCTGCCGCCCCATCAAGAGCATGTTGGGTGTCACTGGATCTGGGTCTGCGATGTCACTGGATACATAACCCAGTGGCTTCGAATTGAGTATGCCCTCAATTTCAATAAGGACTGTGTGAAGGACCTCTTCTGTCACAGTCTGTGACTGGATGGTGGCATACAGGGCCGACTTGATGGACCTGATCTCTCTCTCCCAGGCCCCTCCAAAGTGGGGTGCACTTGGTGGATTAAACTGGAACTTCACCTGGTGCTTAGCCAGCTCGGACTGTAGGGCAGGGTGCATTGCTTTGAAGGAGTCGTGCAGTTCCCTCTCCCCTCCTCTGAAATTCGTGCCCTGGTCCGAGAGTAACTCAGCAGGTTTCCCTCTGCGGGAGATGAATCGGCGGAGTGCCATCAGAAAGGAATCCTGGTCCAGACTACTCAAGAGGTCTATGTGGACGGCGCGGGTAGTGAGGCACTTGAATAGTATACCCCAGCGCTTCTCCTGTCGTCGTCCTACCTTGACAGTAAGAGGACCGAAACAATCCATACCGGTGGAGAAGAACGGTGGCTTCAGCAACCGCAGACGTGCAGGTGGTAAGTCTGCCATCTGTGGTATAACTGGTTTTGCCCTCCATCTCTGGCACTCAGTACATGAATGTTGATGCCGCTTCACCGCCTCTCGTCCACGGAGGATCCAGTACTTCCGACGTAATTCAGCATAGAGGCGCTCAGATCCTGGGTGGCGAAGATCGCAGTCGACACTTTGGATTATGAGCCTGGTGACTGGGTGGGCTGGATCCAGGACGATAGGGTGAATGCTCTCAGCCTCAAGCAGGTCGCTGCGCCGCAGTCTTCCTCCAACCCGAATCAACTTGAGCTGTTTGTCATACTCAGGGGCAAGGGCGATGAGACGACTGGTGGAGGGGACTGGTTTGCTCTCTGACAGGTGCTTGAGGTCCTCTGGGAAGCATTCCACCTGCACTTGTCTCAGCAGGTCTCTCTCAGCATTACGATAGTCCTCGGCTGCTGGAGTAGAATGGTCCTTTGCCGTCCCGTGACGCTCCTGGACCACTGCTTCCATTAACTCTTTAAAACTGCTGAACTGGCTTGTGTCAGGTAAGTAGAGGAGTGGGGCAGTGGTTATGGAGCCACAGAATGTGGTTTTGCGCAACTCTTCACCCTCCAGGGACTCCGCTGTGGGTTTGGTTGGCCAGTGTTCAGGGGACTGATGCAGGAATGCTGGGCCGTGGCTCCAACGACTGCTTTTCCCTGCAAGGTCTCTTAGGCTCTTCCCACGGGTTATGTCGTCTGCGGGATTGTTTGCAGAGTCCACGTACCTCCAGGATTGGGCCTCGCTTATCTCCTGGATTTCAGCGACTCTGGCACCCACGAACACCTTGAATCTGCAGGAGTCTGACTGGATCCAAGTCAGGACAGTGGTTGAGTCCGTCCAGAGCGTCACCTCATCGAGTCTCAGGGTTAGCTCATGCTGTAGGAGCTTGGCCAGCTGGGCACCTGTCAAGGCTGCGCACAGTTCCAGCCTGGGCATTGTCTGCTGGCGCTTGGGGGCTACTCTTGATCGCGCTGTCAGGAAAGCTACTTCCACCTTCTTGCCTGGTATTTCTGTACGCAAGTATGCTACTGAGCCATAAGCTTTCTCAGATGCGTCACAGAAAATTTGCAGGCTTCGCAGAGCAGCAGGGTTGTCCAGAGGGGGGCTTGTATAACAACGAGGTAGGACAATCTCTGGAAGGTGTTGCAGCTCGGCTTCCCAACTCAGCCACGCCTTGAGAGCATCCGCTGGCAAGGAGGGATCATCCCATTCTCTTTCCTTCTTCCATAGGTACTGCACAATGATCTTGGCTCGCGTGGTGAAGGGTATGAGAAAACCTAGTGGATCATAAAGCCTTGCCAGCGTGCTGTAGATGTTCCTCATGGTAGGAGTAGGGCTTTCTGCAAGGTGATACTTGTAGCCTAGAGTGTCTGACGCACACAGCCAACGGAGTCCAAGGGTGAGCTCTTGAGGATCTTCATGGGATTCTGTGAGCCATAGCTCACTGCTCTCAGATCTTGACTCCTTCGGCAGATGGCTGATGACTTCCGGGACATTGCTAGCCCATTGGCGCAGATCGAAGCCACCTGTGGTAAGCTGGGCCCTGAGTTTGTCAACCAGCTGATGGGCTTCTTCAGTGGAGGGGAGACTTTGCAGGTGGTTATCTACATAGAAGCACCGCTCAATGGAAAAACGAACTTCATCCCCTGGTTGACAGTGGTCTGCCACATGCTTCTGCAGTGCATACGTTGCACAGCAGGGGCTGCATGTGGTTCCAAAGGGGAGGACTTGCCATTCATAGACATCTGGTGGTACTCCTCCTTTCAGATCCCTCCACAAGAAGCGCAGCAAAGGTCTGTCCTCTGGTAACAACCGCACCTGGTGGAACATGCCCTTGATGTCACTGCTGAGGGCGATAGCATGTTCCCGGAATCTTAGCAGGACACCAAGAATGCTGGAGGTAAGGGTCGGACCAGGTAGCAGTAACTCATTCAGGTTCTGGCCTTTATAGGTGTAGGAGCAGTTAAACACAATCCTATTTTTCCCATTGTGCGTCACCATGTGATGTGGGATAAACCAGGATTCGGTTGACTCGTTCACCTCCTCATCTTCAATCTTGACAACATAGCCGGCCTGTTTGAGTTTCAAGATCTCAGCCCCATAGGCTGCTGCTTTCTCTGGGTCTTTAAGCAGACGTCTTTCAGTGCTCCTCAGATTGGCTAGGACAGCTTCTTTGGGAGTGCGGAGGCAGGGCATATCCTTCACACGTAGCAGTGGTGTGGCGTAGCGCAAGACTCCATCAACCTCCACCCGTACTGTCTTCGTGTCAAGCATGTGCACCGCCTCTTGGTCCTGCCTCGAGCGCGTCACCAGCCTTTCACTTTTGTATGGCACCACATCCATCTGCCATAACTTCTCCACATGGTGTTGGAGCTGCTCTGAGGGTGAAAGTACGCCAATGTTCAAACAAAGTTCAGGCTGGAGTTGTTGCCGAACAACACTAGTGGGCCCTTGGATGACCCAGCCCAGTCTGGTCTTCACAGCCGCTGGTCCTCCTGGTGGCCCCAATCGGACTGGCTCTGTCGGGGTAATCAGGTGAGGATGGTCAGATCCAATGAGGACCATTGGCTGAACTCTATCTAGCGTTCTGAGCGGCAGGCCTTGCAGGTGTCTGTACCGGCGCTGGAGCATCTTAACAGGCTGAGAGTGTTCTGCCAATCCCAGAAGGTCTGCAGTAAAGGCTCTCTGGATCTGGAAGGTCTTTTGCGGTTGACCGGCAGGTGAAATGGTGAATGAGACAGAAAAGCCCTGCAGCACTTTAAGGTCTTGGTGCACTGTTCTAAGAGCAATCTCCTCTGGCTCACCTGTCAGATGTAAGGCCTTTGTAGCAGCTTGAAGGAGCATTGTTCGCTCTGAGCCATCATCAAGTATTGCATAAGTCTCCAAAGCCTTCTCCCCATGGTGTAGCACCACCTTCAACACCTTTAAGAGCACTTGGCTGGAGCCTGCCTTACGATCTAGATAGAGTACTTCGTTGGTCGGAGCACTCACAAGGAAGGATTTCTCCTCAGTGGCTGGTTTTGCGTTGAGGTCATGAAGGGCGTCCAGATGTCTCCCTCCACAGGACTTACACCTAGCCTTCAGTCGACATTGGGCGGCTTGATGGGAACGAGCACAACGCCAGCACCTTCTGTTGCTCTTGATCCAGGCACTGCGCTGCTCAGTAGTGAGCTGACTGAACGTAGTACACTGGTTCAAGTAGTGCTGGGCATTGGTACAGTATGGGCATGATGGCAGGATCTTGCTTGCAGGACTGGCGTTAGCCGATGTACTGTCTGGGGACTTCTCAGTACTGTGGAGTACAGTAGTGGGCATAGCTGACTTTGAATCCTTTCGTCGCTCTTTCTTTCCCTCTGTGGTCTCTTTCACTTCTCTGAACAAGCACTGCCCATACTCTTGGACCTTTAGCTCGAACTCTAGCCAGTCAGAGAAGTCGAACAATGTAGGGACTCGAACATTGAATGGATGCACATATTTCATGAAATCAGCACGCCGTTCCTGTGGGAGCTTGGACATCAGCCTGGTTACATGCGACCCACACTTTAGCTCTATATGACCCTCTTCTCCCAGCTTGTCGAGCATACCAACCAAAGCTCTCACTCTGAGGGCAAACCTCTTGAAGGCGGCTGCATCATGGCTTCGGATGCTGGGTGCCTCCATTAACTCTGCAATGCGCCGTAACGCCAACTGATGGGGTTGCCCATAATGCACGGTTAGTGAGGCCATGGTGTCCGTATATGGTTGGGAGGAGTTCATATAGGAGTCTGCTATGAGGAGTGCATCTTCAAATTTCAGATGGTCCAGAAGTATTTGGTATTTAAACCTTTCTGTAGCATCTGCAGGGAGAAGGTTCTCAAGTGAGTCTTTCATCCTATTAAACTCACGGGGGTCCCCTTTAGTGAAGTCTGGAATGGTAGCTTTAGGCCCTCTATAGACACTTTCTCTCTGTCGGTGGGCATAGGCTCCCTCATGGCTAGGGTCAGTGAATGGGGCTTGGCGTCCAGAGCTCGGATGAATGGGTCCAGCTTGAGTGGACAGTTGCTCTGGCCGGTGAGTGTGTCCTTGAGACACAGATCCCTCAGAATACTGCTCACAGTACTCAGCCACCCTTAGTGGGGGCTCTGGGGCCCTCCCCATCTTTCTAAGACAGGCTGTCAGCTCTTCCACGAGAGACACTGGCAGAGGAACTGCTGCCGATGAATACGGCGTGTCGTCCTCTGCTACAGATGGGGGAGGAGGAGGCCATTCCCCATCGTCAGCTTCATCCTTCACAGCTACACCCATGGGGGGAGCAGGTGCCGTCATGGCCTGTGGAGCTGACTGTGAGAGGCTGCGAGGCACTGCATCCACAGGTGGCACTGGCGGTATGCGTGCTGGTAAATGGGTAACAGGATCTGGCCGTAGAGAGGAGGGAGGAGGAGGCCGGGATATGTCTGGCTGTTTACTTGTATTGAGCTGCCTTTGTATCTCCATTACAGTGGCCTGAAGCCTGCGATTCTCTTCCTTAACCTGACGCAGCTCCTCTTGCATAGCAGGTGAGGGGTCTGGTGGTGCTCTCATAAACTGTGGATCAGGGGTGCTACTATACTGGAGTCCCGAGTACACCGACTCTCTGGGATACTTTGGTCGAGCATCATACAATGGGGTCCACGGGTTAGAGAGCACAGATGAAGCAGAGCTGTCTCCACGCCTCTCCCGACTGTAGTATGGCTGCTGGGTTAGGAGATCATGCTGGCTTGGTGCTGCTGTAGCGAAGGGATGTCTATCCATGGGTGGCAGCTGCACTTCGTAATCATCCATCCATGCGGGGGGACGTATCTGACGTCGCGGGCGATTATCCGCATGTGTAGTCGTATCTCTCCTCTCATGTGGAAACATTTTAAATGTGCACAGTGATCACTCTTCCCGGGTTTCGGCACCAAATGTAATGAGGGATTCTAATATTTCAATTAAAAACTGGTTGTGGGAATGGTGACCGCTGTGAAGCATCAGTCAAATGCTTGATGTCCAAAATGTTGTGGTTTATTCACCATCAAAGAAGATCCATACAATATTTGTATACTGGTGGGTTTAAAGCAGATACAGAGTGTGTGTGTGTGGTTCTACAAACAGAAAAAGCAGAAAATAAACCTAATTAGCATTGCCATGTGGCTGGCTGGACATCATAATTACAATTACCAACTATCATCAAAAATATAATAAAAATACACATCTATCTGTAAATAATAATGTCAGTAATTTACTTACATATCCTTGGACGCACACAGAACACAAAAACCAGTGGATGGCGAACTAAACCAAAGATACAAAGCAGATTGTGTCTTCAACTATCCTTCATCTGAACTGCCATCTTAGTATTGAAGGAAATTAACAGAGAACATGACTGGGCAAAAACCCCAGCCTGCAATACCTACCACTAACCAGAGGGGGGAGCTGAGTGGCTACTTCTACACACCACACATCAAACAATCCCAAACCCAAAGTCCTTCAATACAAACAGATATTGTATCATCCAGTTTAGTCAGTGTCCTGTATAATTTAGACAGTAGTTTGGGGGGGGGGGGTTAAATCTAGAAACTCTGATATATTAGTTAGAATGTATAAATCTCCATCGATATGCTTAAATGTGTTTCTAATTATAGCTTTAATTTGCTCATATTCTAAGGATTTATTTTTGTTAATGCCATATTGCAAATTTAATCTAGCAAATGTGATAAACTCTGTGCTTTCAAACAAATGATCCAGATAGTTTATACCTTTATTCTTCCAGTACGGAAACTTGATCACATTATTGTTTTGTAGAATGTCAAATCTGAAATGATGATATTACAGCATATTTCCTGTTCTGTGTCTATCCAGGGATCATCTTAGAAATTATAATTTATCAATTTTGAGATGTATTGTAATCTATTTGCTAAGTAGTAGTTTTGGAAGTTAGGTAAATCGAATCCTTTGAATCAATCTCACTGGATGATCTGGTGAACTGGAAAGTGCTTTGAGATGACATGATGTGAATTGGAGCTATAGAAATAAACTGAATAGAATTTCATAGTTGAACATCTTTAATGGCCTCCAGCAGGAACCAAGAAATGGTTTAAAATATAAGTCTTTAATTAAATTAGAAAAAAAAACTTAAAGCATCTCATAGATGTAATTATTGATTTGCTTTTTTCTCTTTTGTCTGGAAAAAAAAATCATTTAAAAGCAAACATGAGGCCAAATGATCACAGTTAGTAAAATAATAACTTTATTAAAGTTCTATTCGGTAAAAGCTGCATTTTTTAAATTTCTGTCTGTTAATTTTATTTATCTCACACTCGTTTTCGTTATGGCCTGTTGGTATTTAAACAAAATAAAAACCATCAAAATAATTAAAATAATTAAACAAAATGATCGCTTTGTTCCCTTTTGCTCTGAAACGGTAAAGCTGATTCCCGTCCTGAGGGCATCGGTCCGCCATGTTGGCGCCTCTTTCCTCCAAGCTGCTTCCGTCTGTAGAGGAATAACGGGTCTCCTGCTGGTTGAGAAGGTTACAGATCTCAGATCTGCTTCAGTTAGAGTTGACAGTGATCTCTAAATAACCGCTGCTGCAGATTATTGCGCAGAAAGCATCTTAACTTTAGTCACATTTACATTTGAAGCTGCTGTCAGAATAAAGCAGGATTTAGAGACTTCACTGGAAACGATCTTCTGACCCTTCTGAGGGCAACGCTGGCGCCTGCATCCAGACCTGGGTTCCCATAGCAACAGAGGAGGCAGATAACAGTGATCTGTTGAGCCATTTGTGTCCACTGTAAGGGAGAGATTAGGCAGATCACCTGAGTTCATTAAACTCTGTATTTCATGTCTCAGGTCTTATTTTAAGAATTAATCACTAAAGCTCAAATAAATGACTGGATTTATTGTTATTAATCATTTATCCTCTAATTATTTAGTGATCAATTAATCATAAACTAGAGAGTACAGACTTTAAATGTTCACTAAAAGAAAAACTCAGAACAGCAATTAAACAGAAACCAAAATACACACGTTTTACGTTAAAGTGAAATAAAAACATATTTTTCTGTAAACATGATCAGAACTCCTCATCATTATGTTGTTTTTCTTTTACTTTTTTTTTATACAAAATTTGTAACAAATCTTTTATTTTAAGTCACTTGTTTAGGGATTTATTTGAATCTGCTACAAGCAACACTTTCTGATCTGATAAAGAATAATAACTACATTCATATATTAGTGGAATAATTCATATCTATGGGTTTTAAATTACAATTGTTGTAGAAATTCAACAAACCAACAGTCAGTTTAAGATGCAATTAACCCCACAGTGAAAAAACAACAACAAATGTTTGAATTTAATTTCTGGAGTTTCTATATTCCTGAGTTTTCCCACATGATCACTGGACAGGAACGTTTAATTTCAATTCAATTTCAATTCAGTTTATTTATATAGCGCCAAATTCACAACACATGTCATCTCAAGGCACTTTACAGTTCAACCAGATCATACAGTCAAATTGATACAAAGTTTTCTATCTAAGGAAAACCAGTTGATTGCATTGACTCATTGACTCAAATACAATCCCCCACACTAAGCATGCTTGTAGCGACAGTGGAGAGGAAAAACTCCCTTTTAACAGGAAGAAACCTCCAGCAGAACCAGGCTCAGTGTGAGCGGCCATCTGCCGAGGCCGACTGGGGTTCAAGGAGACAGAAGCAGAGATACAAAAAGCAGCTGTAAAAGGCGGCCCCGTCCAGGAAACACACAGCCAGGCAGACGAGCTCCAAGGCAGCTCCCATGCCAGAGGACGAAGAGAGCACATCCACTCAGTCACGGCCAGAGAAACAGGACCACACTGGAAAACAGGCCGATCTCCAACATCTATAAACAAGGGTGTTGATGGAAGCAGCACAGCTGATGTTTCTTTCCAGGATGACGTCACAGCCAAACAGGAACAGACGAGGCAAAGCTACTCTGAGGAAAAGCAGAGAGAGCAGAAGGTTAGAGATTGAACTAACAGATTCTGCAGAATAGGAGAACAGAGAGAGAATGAAGCAGAATGATGAAATGGGGGTCCCTATGTCCTCCAAAAGTCTAAGCCTATAGCAGCATAACTATAGAGATAGCTCAGGATAACCTGAGCCACTCTAACTAGAAGCTTTATCAAAAATGAAAGTTTTAAGCCTAGCCTTAAAAGTAGACAGGGTGTCTGCCTCACGGACTAAAACTGGTAGTTGGTTCCACAGGAGAGGAGCCTGAGAACTAAAAGATCTGCCTCCCATTCTACTTTTAGAAATTCTAGGAACCACTAGTAAACCTGCAGATTGAGAGCGAAGTGCTCTGTTAGGAACATAAGGAACAATCAGATCTCTGATATCAGATGGAGCTTGGCCATTTAAGGCTTTATATTCTCTGTTCTCCTATTCTGCAGAATCTGTTAGTTCAATCTCTAACCTTCTGCTCTCTCTGCTTTTCCTCAGAGTAGCTTTGCCTCGTCTGTTCCTGTTTGGCTGTGACGTCATCCTGGAAAGAAACATCAGCTGTGCTGCTTCCATCAACACCCTTGTTAATAGATGTTGGAGATCGGCCTGTTTTCCAGTGTGGTCCTGTTTCTCTGACCGTGACTGAGTGGATGTGCTCTCTTCGTCCTCTGGCATGGGAGCTGCCTTGGAGCTCGTCTGCCTGGCTGTGTGTTTCCTGGACGGGGCCGCCTTTTACAGCTGCTTTTTGTATCTCTGCTTCTGTCTCCTTGAACCCCAGTGGGCCTCAGCAGATGGCCGCTCACACTGAGCCTGGTTCTGCTGGAGGTTTCTTCCTGTTAAAAGGGAGTTTTTCCTCTCCACTGTCGCTACAAGCATGCTTAGTGTGGGGGATTGTATTTGAGTCAATGAGTCGATGCAATCAACTGGTTTTCCTTAGATAGAAAACTTTGTATCAATTTGACTGTATGATCTGGTTGAACTGTAAAGTGCCTTGAGATGACATGTGTTGTGAATTTGGCGCTATATAAATAAACTGAATTGAATTGAAATATGTGAGAAGAAGGATTTTAAATTCTATTCTTGATTTAACAGGAAGCCAATGAAGAGAAGCCAGGATAGGAGAGATATGATCTCTCTTTTTCATTTTCATTAGAACTCTGGCTGCAGCATTTTGGATCAGCTGAAGGCTTTTAACTACAGTTTGTGGACTTCCTGATAGTAAAGAATTACAATAGTCCAGCCTTGAAGTAACAAATGCATGGACTAGTTTCTCAGCATCACCCCTGGACAGGAGATTGCTCATTTTTGCAATGTTCCTCAGATGAAAGAAGGAAATTCTAGAAACCTCTTTGATCTGGGATTTAAATGACAGGTCCTGATCAAAAATAACACCAAGATTTTTTACTTTATTATCTGAAATCAGTTTAATCCCATCCAAATGAAGTGACTGGCTAATCAGTTTCTTTTTCAGAGACTCTGGTCCAAAGACTATAACTTCTGTTTTATCTGCATTCAGAAGCAGAAAATTAAGAGTCATCCAGGTTTTTATGTCTTCAAGACATGCCTGTAATCTATGTAATGGGTTAGCTTCATCTGGATTTATAGACAGATATAGCTGGGTATCATCAGCATAACAGTGGAAATTAATCCCATGCTGTCTAATAATTCTACCAATTGGGAGCATGTATAAAGTAAAGAGAATTGGTCCTAGCACTGATCCCTGTGGTACTCCACAGGTAACCTTTGAGCGTGTTGAAGATCTATCATTAACATGAACAAACTGAATTCGATCAGATAGATAAGATTTAAACCAGTCTAGTGCTGTTCCTTTAATTCCAACAAAATATTCAAGTCTTTCTAAAAGAATATTATGGTCAACTGTATCAAATGCAGCACTAAGATCCAACAGGACGAGCACAGATACAAGTCCATTATCTGAGGCCATGAGAATATCATTAGTGACTTTCACCAGAGCTGTTTCAGTGCTATGATGAGCTCTAAAGCCAGACTGAAACTCTTCAAAAAGTTCATTATGGTGGAAGTGATCGCAGACTTGTTTGGCAACTACTTTCTCAAGAGATCTCTAGAGATTCCCAGCATATTTAGAGACATGCCTTTCTAAGCACACGTCATTTTTCTGAATTAATGCTGAAATAAAACTATACTTTATAATAAAGACATACTTTCTGCTATGAATGGAGGTCAGCAGGTAGGATTAATGCTGACATCTACAGATGTTTGCTTTTATTTGCTGCTGAAGGGCTGAAATCTCTGCTCTGTGAGCAGAAGTTTCTCTGCTGCCCTCTAGTGTTTCATCATGAAATACAACCTCTTTCAAAAGGCGCCTGCTATGGAAGCCCGTTTCTGCCAAATGAAAGGAAAAACATACCAAATAGAAAGTCAGAATTATGAGATCAAATTTTGTGTC